TTAAGTTTGAAATTATTTCCAAATAAAATGTTTAATTTTAAAAAAGATCTGTTCAGAGATCAGAAAGAGACCATGGAAAATGTCTAATGAGACATCTCAAACTGTTCTAAGGGATGTCAATAGGTGTCCTGAAAATATAAATAGTTCAAATTTAAACAAAGTTTAAAATGTTAGGGTAAGAAAAAATACAAGGTTCTTTATTGAAAAACTCAGAACCTTCCTTACGTTGCTGATGGAGATGGTGAAATTCTAAAATAAAAAGTTGGGTGGGAGGCTTTAGCTTGAAGTGTTTACCAATTTACCAAATATCTTTGGGCACTGAACTCCTTTTTGTTCTCCTATCTAGAGGGAAAAGCTTTAGATTTTGATTTTTAATTTTGCCCAAGATTCTTATTCTTATTAATCAGAATCAAGGTAACTAACATTTCCGGAATACTTACTCTGTGCCAGTGCACTATTTTTCATTACTCTAAGTGTATGAAGTAGAAGTTACTCTCACCTCCATTAAATAGATACAGCTCAATAATAACTTAATTATACATTTTTAAATAACTGAAAGAGTGTGTAATTGGATTATTTGTAACTCAAAGATAAATGTGTGAGGGGATAAATACCGCATTCTCCATGATGTGCTTATTTCATATTACATGCCTGTATCAAAACGTCTCATGTACTCCGTAAATATATACACCTACTATATACCCACAACAATTAAAAATTGAATAGGTATAGCTCAGCGAGGTCATGCAACTTACCCAAGGTAACACATCTAATAAATCAGAAGACTGACTTGAGCTTTAGATACCTGGCTCTGAAGCTGAGTTTGACCTCAACGCTATACTGTCAAATCAATTACTGCCAAAATCTAGACCCTTCACTCCCAATCTTGACCTCTCCCTAAATTACTGAGTAAAGTGACCTAATTTTTTTCTATCTTAATTTTCAATCATTTAAAGGGTTGAACAATCTACTAATTATCATGGTGCTCTGATTATGTATCCTTCATTTTTATATTTAACAATGAAAAGTAAACTTCTTATATTTCCTGATACATATGACAATTATCTTAAATACTAAAGCACACAGTTTGCCTTAAATAATTTTAATTTCTGCATTGTGGGTTGTCTCATTTTTCTAACATATCGCAATAGCCTCTCACTTCTAGAGACTTCAGAATATCATTATTATTATTAACTAACATTTACATAGCACTTTATATTGCCAAGTGTTTTACAATTAATTCTATCAGTTGTTCCTGCCAGGATTCTCCTAATGTAAGACATCGGTTTGTTAAATCCTCTGAATAGACCACAAATGAAAATTATTTCAAATAGGTCTAGTGGAAGTTTTTCTAAGTTTCAAGACCACTCTTTTGGGTGCTACAATTAGCAATGCCTCTCAAGAGCACAACCCAAGAAACATGGCCAATGAAATAATTATCAATTCAAAAAGTTGATAGTGCTAGAGAAGAAAGCTGCTAAATCATGCCTACGTGCAAGAGAAATTGTGTCTAAAATATTTTTACTGCTGATTAGTTTCTGAAGTTAGTTGCACATCAGGCTAATTTTCTTTCCACTCGTAATTTTCAAGAATCTTCACTGTAGACTAGCCTTTGAATTCTTACTTTAATGGAAGTTCTAAATAGCTCCTTACTTTGATATGTATTACAATAACATTTCATGAAAAGAAAAACATGGATCTTTTATTTAATAATGAAGAATTGTGGTACAAACAGCGATGCTTGTCTTAGCAACCACTGATGTAGAAATTGACAGCTTTTAGCCTGCAGTATCCTCTGCCCAACTTGGCTGGTAACTTTCCAATGAAATGACAGTTTGCCGGCATGCAAAGCCACTAGACATGCACAGCTCACTGTATGTCTACAAGAACAACACTGTAATCTTAGCTACTGTTTATGTTACTTGCTTAAGTTTATCAATCAAAATCTACCAGAAGCAGAGACAATGGTGAAGCCTGTTACAAAGGTGAATTCAGGTATCAGCTTTCTGTTGATAAAGAACAAAACAGTGTGGACATTGCCCTAGTGTCTAAATTATAAAATCGTGATGTGATTGATTAAAACTATAACTGTGTTCAGTAATTAGATCAACTCCACAAAGGGGATTCAAACCAAAGTCGAGTTTTGGGAAGCATTTTATGTATCTCTCTTCAGCCTGACTGTCCAGCCTCATTTTCAACTCCATTCAGCCCTCATAGGTTGTTGCATTTAAGACTTTGCCAAGACCTAATGCTCTCCCATGTCCTTTTCTCTCTTCTCCTCCATCTCCCTCCGCATCTTCTTGTCAACTTTTAGTCTTTCTTTTTAATCCCTGCCGTGTGTGCTGGCTCACATCTATAACCCCAACACTTTGGGAAGGTGAGGCAGGAGGATTGCATGAGCCCAGGAGTCTGTGACATGCTTGGGTAACATGGTAAGACCCTGACTCCACAACAAGGGAAATACAACAAAAATTAGTCAGGTGTGGTCACCACTGTACTCTAGCCTGGCCAACAATGTGAGACATTGTCATTAAAATAAAAACAAACAAAACAAAAACAAAAACAAAAAACTTGCCCAGGCCTTACACCCTCTGTTCCTCTGTTTAAGTTCTTCTTGACCTCCAATTTCTACCTTACAGTTGTAAGTTATTGTTATCTCTCCAATGTCCTTCTTGTTCTTTTTATTTTTATTGTTTTATTCATCCAATGGATTTATAATGATTTGTTTGTAAGTATATGTGATCCACTAAACCATGGCACCTGGAAAGTGAGCACAGACTATGTCTTACTCCTTCTTTTATCTAAGGACCTACTAGTGTAATGACACATCGCAGGCCATCAGTGAATACTAAAATAATCAGCTGACGTTTAAGTTGGTTCATCTAGGAAAATTAGCAGCTAAGGGATTAAAAAACATTTTAAGATAATAATGAATGGTATATATTATTTTTATAGCTTTTTGGGTAAAATGATCTAGAGACATTTAAAAAAATTGAACAATATGGAAAACACAAAAAAAGAAAGTAACAAATTACCAGTTATCCATAGATAACTAGGCACATATACATTACTATGCATTTATAAACATAAGTATACAATTCTACAGAAATGGCATACTTTTAAATAAACTCTTATGTAATCTGATTTTATTAACTCAATTATACATGGTACAGATACTTTTCCTTGTCAATAAATATAACTAAGTCTCATTCCAGTAGCAGCAGAGTGGTTCATAATATGGATATAACATGCTTCAATATGTTGATGAATAAATTACTGTATTCAATTTTTCATTATTGGAAATATTGTCACAATGATGTTTGTGCTAAAAATATGTTACTGTGGAACTCTTGGGTCACTACTCATGGGATTGTAAAATGGAATAGCCATTGTGGAAGACAGTATGGTGGTTCCCCAAAAAATAAAAAAAAATAAAAAATAGAATTATCACGTGATTCAGCAATTCTACTTCTGGGTATATATCTAAAAGAATTGAAAACAAGATGTGGAAGAAATATTTGTGCATCCATGTGTATAGCAGCTTTATTCACAATAGCTAAAACATGGAAGCTACCTAAATATGCATCAATGGATGACTAGATAAACAAAATGTGGTACACACATGCTAAGGAATATTATTCAGCCTTAAAAAGGAAGGAAATTCTGACCTGTGCTACCACATGAGTGAACCTTGAGGACATTACACCAAATGAAATAAGCCAGTTACAAACAAACACTGTGTGATTCTACTATGAGGCACTTAGAGTAGTTAAAATCATAGAGATAGAAAATAGAATAGCAGGGGCTAGAGGAAGGAGGGAATAGAAGTTGTTGTTAATGGGTATTGAGTTTCATTTTACAAGATGATAAAGAATTATGAAGAGAGATGATGGTGATGTTTGCACAACATTACAAATACTCACAAATGGTTAACATAGCATCATACATTTTATATGTATTTTACTGCAATAAAAAAATGGAAAAAAGTATGAGTGACAATTATTAGTGAGACAAAGCATCTTTTCACATGTCTACTGTTCATCTGTATTTCCTCTTTTGTAATTTACTATTATAGCCTGTTGTTGTAGTATTTTGACAAGCACTTCGCAAAGGATTGCCAGTGCTTCTCAACAGAAAGAAGTAACTAATGTTGGAACTTCAGGTATGGAATCAAGGGAATGTGGAAGAATATTTGTGATACATATGCCTTTAAGTGCCTATCAGAACATAGAACTTTATGGGCTCTTGCCAGGAATAACAATAGCACTGTGTTATATGCTCAATTTGTAGAAATATGGGCTTCATCTTTGGTGGTATTTCCATTGTGAGGTAAGGAGTTTAGAAAATCAGGGTGTTTGGGTATCAATTTTTTTGCTTTTCTTCAAAGTAATCCCTCACAATGTTCAATGAAAAATATTTAGGACTAAGTTGCTGACCTCAGAGATTTTATTTAGGGTTTACATGCCCTATGCAATCTGTTTTTCCCACAGGAATTTAAAATAAACATGTTAAAATAGAATTTACGTATTTGAAATTACAATCTAAAAACTGATTTATTTTCTGGAGATTTCTATGGCCCATATTTAATGATAATATTTGACACAGCTTATTTCCCAAACCATGCTCTATCTTTCTGAGATCTTTAATCCTACAAGGTAAAATAAGAGAGTTTCAAGTACAGCTCTAAATACACACCTGTGTATCCCTTTTGTGTCACAATTCACAGTGGGTTTGTTGATCTAAAAGTACTAAAATGAATTTTATTTTCATGCCATAAACACCATTATTCTGAGCAATTGAAAGATTAGTAGGTGAGAGTCTGGGTAGTGTTGTTTCTAAGCAAAAATGGAAAAGCAAAGTTTCAGGATCGATTTTTGTCAGATATGTGAACACCCGTTCTATAGAATTTAGCTCCTGTTTTGACAGCTTATTGAATACTCCCTCAACTTTTCCCGCCTGTTAATGTCTCCCATTAATTAATACCCATTCTCTGTTCGCAGTTTTGATAGAACAGCAGTAGTTGTTAACACAACATTCATAATCACAATTGTACAGGTATGTATTTTGTCTGTGTTACATGTAAGCCTCAGATTTTAAATATTAGGAGAAAAGTAAAGTAAAATTTCTAGAAATAAAATTGTTTTGTAATAACAATAAGAATGGTTTTTATTTCATTTTTTTCCTTTCCTTATACTGGTATCAAATACCATAAAATATCTCCCTATATTTCCTTTATTTTTGTATGAATAAGATTACAATAATTGGATTTAAAAAAATTTTTAATACATCTGGAAGACACTGTTTTGTTACTTGGTAGAACCAAGGAGCAACTTTTTACAATGCAAATAATGGTCATCAAGGGATGTCACATGTTCACATACAATTTTTCCCTTAGAGTTCAAAGTAATTTAGAAATGCATAACCTTTTAACATTTTTAAAGTGTGTAGAATTTTGTACAATGTTTCTCCAAATTTTTAAGAGCATAAGATTCTGAAAAATAATGACAATTAAGTTTTACTGGAGGAGCTAAGGATGGTGACTGGTATAGACCTTCATATGAGTTTTTAAAAGTTATGCATGTGCATTTATAAACATTTGACTATACAAAAACCTTTTTTTAAAAAACCAATTTTAATATTCATACAAATATTTTGGATGGTTTTGTGTTTCCGTTCAAAGAAACACAAAAATCGATGTTTCTTTATTACATGATTGTGACATTACATCATAAGCATATCCCCATGTTACTACATCTTTTCCAAAACTATTATTTTAATGTCTGAATTAAATGCTGTTGAGTATAATTAGTAAACACTGAAAGTTTACTTAGTAATTCTCCTATAAGTAACCTTTTGCTTGTCTCCTTTTTAAAAAAACTATAAATAAATCTCTGAAAAGCATCATAATGCCTACCCTCAAATTTAAAATTCTTGCTGTAAGTTTCTAAAAGTGGAATTATTAGCTCAAAAAACATACCTATATGTGTTTTAACAAAGAAAATGTATATGTATTTATACAGCATATGTATTTTGTGTATATATATGTATTTTATGTGCATATATATGTAAAATATGGATTTTGCGTATATATATATATACACACACACATGAGAGAGAGTGAGAGAAACAGTTGCAATCCTGCCAACAATGTATAAGCTGAACTCTGAATTTCATAGAACCATTGCAAGCATTGGGAGTTACAATTTTTTTCATCTTTCTTAGTTGATTAGTAAAAAAGAGGTTATTTGACTTTTTTTTTCAATTTACATTTATTTGATTATCAGACAGATTTGTTGCAATATACTTCTAGACTACAGTAAAGATTTCACTTAAATATAGTTAGAAATTTGACCAATAAGCCGGGCGCGGTGGCTCACGCCTGTAATCCCAGCACTTTGGGAGGCCGAGGCGGGCGGATCACAAGGTCAGGAGATCGAGACCATCCTGGCTAACACGGTGAAACCCCGTCTCTACTAAAAATGCAAAAGATTAGCCAGGCGAGGCGGCGGGCGCCTGTAGTCCCAGCTACTCGGGAGGCTGAGGCAGGAGAATGGCGTGAACCCGGGAGGCGGAGCTTGCAGTGAGCCGAGATCGCGCCATTGCACTCCAGCCTGGGCGACTAAGCGAGACTCTGTCTCAAAAAAAAAAAAAAAAAAAAAAAAGAAATTTGACCAATAAAAAAGATATAAAAATTGAAATATTTATAATGTATGTTATTTATAAAGCATAATTGAAATTGCAATTAAATTTACTAGTGTCTACTAGCCTTCTCCTTAAAGCAAATCAAATACTATCTCTATGCATAAGTGAGTTTGGGGGTAATAAAAGATAATCATTTTCAAAGTAACTGGCTAGAAACAAGTTTTCCCTATTTTTTGGTGGGGAGGAGGCAAATTGAACTGCTCTACTCTGAAAATCCATTTTGAATTTAGGATTAAGGAAATTTTTTGCTTTTTCTATCAAGAGCTACTGGGAAACAAAAAAGAAATCAGGGCTTCATTTAAAAAAAAAAAAACGTATTTTTATGAGAGCAATACAAAACCTTGGCTATTGATAATAGTTTATTAAACAGAAAAAAAATGAACGTTTCTGCAGAGATTTACAACAGTTATTTAAATATAATCTTTAGTTCACTGTCATAGTCACTTAAGAAAAACAGATGAAGGGAGCAACAGAAGAGAGAAGCAACAAAATGAAAAGATAGAAGAAAAAAGGGAAAAAAGAGAAAGACAAGTAAACAGGATAAATACATCGACAGCTACAGAAAGGAAGAAACACAAGTAAGCACAGAGCCATAAAGGAAGGAAAACAGAGGAGAGCTGGGTTGAAGTCTGTGAGGGGAGTGTTAGTTCAAGCCAAAGAAAGCTACTTTGGTCACACTGTGGCGTGTGTTGGGACATGAACCCCTGATTGTTAGCTTTTGTAATCACTGCTTTCAAATGCTGACTTAGTGTCAGAACACTGATGAACTGTTGAGCAATATAAACGTGAGATCATAGCTAAGTTTCCATAATTGTCATTGATGGAACATTTAAACAATAAAATCAAAAGGCAAATCAATTAACACAAAAACTTCTTGTTCAAGAGTATGTCTCAGAGAAAGAAGAGGAGAGTGGTTCCTGCAATTATGTCAAATTCAGCTTGAGTTTACTAATGAAGAACCAACCTAAACAATTTCCTAAGAAGTATGTTCAGCCCACCAGTTATCTGCACAAGTAGCTCCTGGGCAAGTGTTGCTTAATTTCACTAATATAAGGAGAAATTATCTTCCCGTTAACTTGGAACAATAGTGAAGCACTGGTTTAGTTTTATTTTTGATTATTTTTTACATTAAGTATGTTTTTCTTCCTTCCAAAAGAAACCACCAGGGAAGCCTCATTTTCTTCACATTAATATGGTGTGCCATTCTTGGCGGGGAACTGTAGGTGTTGCTGAAGCTACATAGCTGAAAAAGCTAAGCCAGGCCTCTAATTCTTTGGCTTATTACAGTTCTATTTTAGCCCTGTCCTCTTTTTCCCACTCAAATTCTGTAGCCTAGCATGTGTTTGGATATGCTGCATCCTCCAGTTCTTCACACTAAATATACTCTCAGAAGCCACGAGCAAAACTTGCAGATGAGTCATTCTCTTTGGAAGACTCAGCTCCATGGTGGACAGTTCGTAAACTGGAATAGATTCAGCTGGATAGGGGGAGTAGAGACAACAGTAGTTGGTTCATTGTGTTCTGCAAAAGGAGCCAAAGCGGGTTGGAGGTGGGTGGTTTCAGAGTAAATTGAAGCAAATGCTCATATTACACTTTAAGGAAAAGTTGGTTAAAGAGACAATACTCTTAATGATAATACTCTAAAGCTTAGAATTTGTGTTCATCACTTGTTTTGGGGGTCAGGCACATTTTTGGTGGTGGTGTTGTTATCCTTTGACCAATTCTCAGAGCATAATTTGTTTCCAGTCTTTTTGTTCTAAGAGTGAAAAGGTCAACGCCCTTTGACATGGCATGAGCTATTCAGTACACCAGGGGAAACGTCACCAGCAGTGCTGGACTTAAAACAACTTCGGGGCAACCAGAGTCAAACACAGGAAGTGTTGTTCAGGCCCCCAGAGAATACTGGCTTTGTTTATTAGCCAACTTACATCTGGTTGAATTGCTAAGTGCCACTATCTTGAATGAGCAGATATATCAGAGACTACAGACCCAGATGAGGTATTTGTAGGCATGACATAACAACATCACTCTCCTAAAGTGTCCCCTACAGGAATCTAAATACAGAGTGGCTATTTTCTTAAATGGGAAAAGTTCCATCTCAGGTCCCCATAGTCCAATACACACTAAATGATTCTACAAATGAACAAACACTGCTTTGATGAGACAGTAAATTTAGTGGGAAAAATAATCAAACAAAAATGCAGGAAAAAAATGTGGATTTTTAAAATAAACAGTCTAATCAGAAAGTGAATTACACATTTAATCTTGTGAATTTTTAAAATGATTTCACACAGGAAACACTGACCTACTCAAAATAACATCAGAAACATGTTTATGTGCATGACGTGTAAATTTCTAAGTGTTCAATGAGTTATTAACTGTTGTTTTACTGTATGAGAAAATGGTTTAACTCCATTTCACAGATTAATTGAGAAAGAAAGGTTAAGTGTTTTGTCTAAGGTCACTCAGCAAATCTAAACCAGAGACACATTTAGTTCTCTGAGTTACTGACTTCCTGTGTATGTTTTAAATCCGTGAATTATTTTGTTTCTAAATATACTGAAGGAGATTCAAGGCCCTAGGAAAAAAATTCACATTGTATCACAGTACCTCATTTGAAAATAGGGAAAATATGGATAAATTGCACACCAAGCTTATTCTCCAGGATCAAAGACAGTACTAAAGAGGAAAAATAAATGCAGACTGAAGATGGAAAAGTCCTAAATAGTTATTAAACATCTTGGCCATGCAAAGAGCTCTTTGCTTGCAGACAAAGAGTTTAGATACTTGAGTTCTGGTCCCAGCTCTGCCATATACTTAGCTAGATGGTTCTTAATCTCTAAGTCTGACTTTCCTTATCTGTAAATGGATATAATAAGACCTGGGACGGGCATGGTGGCTCACATCTGTAATTCCAGCATTTTGGGAGTCCTAAGCAGGTGGATCACCTGAGGTCAGGAGTTCAAGACCAGCTTGGCCAACATGGTGAAACCCCATCTCTACAAAGATACAAAAATTAGCCAGGCATGATGGTGGGTGCCTGTAATCCCAGCTACTCAGGAGGCTGAGGCGGGAAAATCGCTTGGACCTGGGAGGTGGAGGTTGTAGTGAGCTGAGATCACGCCACTGCACTCCAGCCTGGGGGACAGAGTAAGACGCCATCTCAAAAAAAAAAAAAAAAAAAAAAAGACCTGATCTTTCAGGAAAGTCATGAACATCAAATGGGTTTATGAACACAAAAGAGTATTTTAAAGAATATCATAAGTTGTAGAGTGCTGTACAAATTCCATTAGTGATTGTGGTCGTGGCCCTATTGTCATACTAGAAAGGAAATGGCAGGAAGCCAATGAATAAAATAAATGTCATAAATTAATGGCTCTTAATCATTTTATATCA